TTCTGGTCTTCTCAAGTGCACAAGGCTCAAGTAGTCAGGAAGAAAGAAGTTTTCCCACCCTCAACCTTAGTCTGGGGCTGAAGTACCACATGACTACCCAGAACCTGCAAAGTTGATCTAAGACCGGGCTGTCTAACTGGCAGCATATGAGGGGTCAAGTTGCAGTCCCTGAGCTCCTGCCTGGCCACCCTGGGTTCACTTCACCCATTGCTGCTGGTGCAACAGCAGCCAGAGAGTCTGGGCTCCCCTTCCCTCCTCTGGATGCAGAAGGCAGGGCAATGCAGTCTGGCGCAGCCAGAGGAGCTAAGGAAGTGAGTCTGGGGCCACATGGTGCAGTGGTGGGACGGTGCCCTCACAGTGCAACAGCGGGGGGCATCCACGCAGCATGTGGCCCAGGGGGGGTCTGTGGCTTGCCCTAATGCAGTCTGTTGGTGTGTAGCCCCGCTGGTGTGGTCAACAGGGCATTTGACCCCCAGCCACTTTAATATTAGATATATGACCGTCCAATTTCTAAGACACAGCTGCTTCAATAAATGCCTGGCCCTGCTTTATGCCAAAGTAAATTAATCAAACTACACTTTTCATTTTGAAATAACTTCTTTACAGTTCGTGTGACCAGACTCTGGAACAGACTCCCAGTGAGGGTGGTGCAGGCACCTACCCTGGAGATTTTTAAAGGAGACTCGATGCACACCTTGCTGGAGTTATTTGACCCCAGTAGTCTTTCCTGCCCAGAGCAGGTGGGGCTGGACTCGATGATCTCACCAGGTCCCTTCCAGCCCTAAACTTCTGTGAATCTGTGAATTAGCGTTTGTCCAACTTCCATCTTCCTTTTCATTGATTTAAGCTTCTTACCTCTGCTGCAAAATGCTTCCCATGGATTGTGTGCTCTGAGCCTTCTGGCTTCTTTCTGTTTCCCCAGTGTAAGTGAAGCTGAGTTGCAGTGTACTGGAAAGGGAGGTTTCTGATGTACATGGTAGGAGGCAGACCCACTCTCACTGCAATTAGACCAAAAATATGGGAGAAGATGATACCACAGTGTAGAAGTGTGGGACGCACAGAACTACCATGACTGACACCGTTGGATGCAAAGTATTACAACAGCAGATTAAACCATTGAGGTGCTTAACACAGAATCCTACACATTTCATGTTTTAGTAGCTTAAAGATTATTGTTTTAGCAGTGTTGGCCTTTTTAGGTAGTTCAAAGAAGTTTAGAACATTTTATCTTCAGTTCTCTTAGAACTCCATGGAATTTGAATTGAATATAATAAGAGTTGTGATTTCTCTATTGCTGCTGGAATTCCTTCTCTTCCCTGGAGGCTGCAAAAGCACCCCAGTCTCAGTAAAGGGAATCTGTGAAGCAAAACAAAGATTGTGTGCTTTTCATCTCTTGATTTTTCCTATATTTGGGGCAAAATTAGTTTTTTCAAAGTTTTTATTGAAGAAAATATCCTTGGAATCCCAACAAACAACCACCTGGTCGCTCCCCCTGTCTGCCCCCTCTGGAATAATTCAGCCAGTGTGTAAGATTTTTCCTTTGTTCTCCACTGTTTCAAGTTTATCTTATATATAGGTGACTGTGTACCTCTGTTTGCAACTTCTGATGTATTTTTATTAAATTAAAAAATAAATTATGCTATAGTACAAAGCATCTGTTGGGGAAAGTATGGAACTTTTGGAAATCTCACCAAATTCACTGGGTAGGGCTGCTTTTCTGTGCGCTGACAGCAATTTGTAGAAGTCATAATTTGAAAAACTTATGAAGTCATAGATTCAACATGAGAATTTGATTCTTTTTGCATCACTAGTAATTAAGGAACAGACCGTCAGTGTTGTGTTATTTCCATCTTCTCTATGGCACCTGTGAGGGGCTACGATGACAACAGGTTCTTCTCTGCCTTCTAATGTAATACACTGGCCTAATATGTGCAAGTGTAACTGAACAAGCTGTCACTGAGGACTAAGAAGGACATGCTGGAGCCCCACAAGAAGGGTTGGAGCCAGACTGCCCTTCAGTATTACTAATCTAGAGCAGCTTGGTTTTGGGTGAGGGGGAGAGAGAGACCAGAAATTAGGCCCTAGGAGGTTTGTCCTTACCTGTACAGTGGGCTCAGGATTGGGCTCATGTCCTTACCTGTACAGTGGGCTCAAACCAGGTACCCCACTGAAAGAGTGAGAAAAAAGAGGTTCACCTGTCAAGCTTTTTTCAACAAAGCAGGATGAGAAGGAGCAGAGACTGAAGCCCCTTTATAATATTTTGTAATGGTTTTGCAGTAGTAAGGAAAACTGTGCTGAAGAACTGTTGCTGTTCCAGGAGCTAGATTATGGGTACTCTGGATTGCGTTAATGTAATAGATACTTAGGTTTCTTGTGATTTCTGGTTCTCTGATGAAGTGTGATAAGTATGTGTGTAAGCTAGTCCTGATGATTAATATATATACACTGCTCTCCCACAATCAAAGAAGTTTTCTGTCTTAACACCAGTAGTAGAGCCATATGGTAAAGCTCCAGTGTTGTTGATTTGTTTTAAATGTATTTGAGCCATTTCTATTATCCTTCCAGGTCCTTAGGCTAGAATTTCAGAAGTTGCTTCATGCAGATTTTAGTGATTTATAAACAAAGCCACAAAGTAAGTTCCTGTTTCTCAATACTTGAACCAGATTATCTAGAAAAACTTTTCAGAAGTTTATAGATCAATTCTATGAGTTGCTAAACATTAATTTAAGGACTTTAGAGAATTAATTTTAAGTTTCATCATGATTATGATAAAATTTTGTAACTTACCAAGTGTTTTAGGTAGTTATCTTTAACTGTTTATATTCGGTTTCAAAGGTTTGGTCCATTATAGCTGAATTTCACTTCATGCAATAATTTAAGTAATTAACACATAAAATACAAGTTTATGGAATCCAGTAACTTTCAAATTCTTACCTGCGTATTTGGTTTTCTTACCTGAATGACCATTATTGGTTAATGCAAGTTGGTCAGTGGTGGACATGTTATAACCTATGAGCTCTAAAGGCAAGAGAGTAGAGTCATATTGAAGAATATTATTATGAAGATCTATTGGAGACTGAAATCCTCCTCCACAAAATGGATACTTTTGGGGCCAGGTTTTCTCTCCATCAGGACCTGAGAAAGTTAACAGAGAAGACATGGTTATTGTTGCCCATGTTGATGCCTTCCCTACATGCTAATAATAGCTTGGTGTGGATCATCTGGTTTGGATAATGTAAGAACTCATGTTTTCACAGAACCTTTACTCCAAACTTGGGCAGGATCCAACTGTCATTTTCTGGATTTAAAAACATGGTTTGCTACACTAACCAATTTTCAATTTCACATGTTCAGTTTTTTACTAGGGCCAAATTTCTGTAACCCAATCTGTTCATGCAAGTGGTTTCTCAAGGCAGACACACCACAAGTCACACATAAGGGGCTGCTTAAGGGAGACTTACAGGCAGACCCATACAGCTTTTAGTTCTGGCTAAAGAACTCACGCTTTTGACTGCCATTCAAAACAAATTAAATTCTCAAACACTTGAGGTTTACTTACCATTAATAAGAGCTTGTGGTACAAAAATGCCTATTACATTCACTTCTACTTAGTGATCACTGATAAGGAGACATAAATCTGTGTGTGACCTTGCATCTAGTCATCCTCACCCTCGAACAGGCAAAACCTTCAGAGAATTTAGATTACACGAGTGCGTGTGTGTGTACACACATGCACATTTGTGCATTGTAAATATACATTCTAACTTACATATAAATGAACTAGCAATATTTTAAACTAGGAGCTAAATAGTTCTTTTGTTACAAGTCAAATTAAAGCGTTTCATAGATCTTGTTGGATCTTAGATCCAGAGTACACCATTGGTAGTTCATTACATTACTGAGTTATGGAAAGTGGCCAAGTGAGACAATGTGATGCAGGCAGGATTTAAATTGGTTTCTTAGGCAGCTACTCCTAGGTATTGCAGCACCTAAGTGTTAGGTTATTTACCCTGGAGGATGATTCAGCTTGACCAATTTGGATGCCTCAGACCTCTATAAAGTCAGTGGAGAGATGCAGCTAAGAGCAATTTAGGGTTAGGCACCTAGGTGTTCTACAGCAGTGGTCCTCAAACAGGGTGCCACAGTACCCGGGGGGTGCCATGGGATCCTTTTAAGGGTGTTGTGCAATATTAGCTCATCTACAATCCTTTACTTGACCTGTGGGAGCAGTCATTCTTCACTGTGAGGGATCACTAACAATGACAATGGCAATATTAGCACTGTTGGTGTGTGAACACCTATATGTGATTCACAAGATAAATCTAGACATTTCAAGTAGAAATCCATAGTGTCAAAAACATTCTGACCTGTTGTGGTCTTTCTTAGTTCTTTGCAACAGAAGAATTGCTCTATTATTTTTTCCATATTAAAAATTAATAAAACCTAAGAGCTAGTTTTCCAAGGGGTGCCTTGAGCCTAATTATGGGTGCCTTGAGTCTTAGAAGGTTGAGAACCACTGCTCTACACAGGGTGCATCTACATATTGTCCTATGGCAACATTGTTACTACGCCTTGCTTTAGTACTTCTTTTTCGAAGTACTAAAGCATGGTGCAGTAACTGCCCGTACTGCGCCATATGCATGGTGCAGTTATTTTTAGCAGCTACTTTGCCGTAGCAGTGCACTATAATGAGGGAGTGTACTGCTATGGCAAAGTAGCTGCTGGTCACATGTAGACACCCATGGGCGCTACATCTCTATAGCTCATCACTATGGCGATGTAGCATCACATGTAGATGCACCCAACATGAACAAACAGTAGTGCCTTTACAGGACTACAGGAAACCCTCGCTATTTGCGAATCCACTATTCGCGGATTTGAATATTCACAGTGCACTGTGCCAACGGGGTGGGTCGGGGCAGGTGCTGCCACAGCTCCCTCTGGTGCTGCACCAAGCTCCTGCGCGCTACATCTCTATAGCTCATCACTATGGCGATGTAGCATCACATGTAGATGCACCCAACATGAACAAACAGTAGTGCCTTTACAGGACTACAGGAAACCCTCGCTATTTGCGAATCCACTATTCGCGGATTTGAATATTCACAGTGCACTGTGCCAACGGGGTGGGTCGGGGCAGGTGCTGCCACAGCTCCCTCTGGTGCTGCACCAAGCTCCTGCCTCTGCATAAGCAGGCACAGAGCACTGCACAGGGTGGGGGAGCGCAGAGCTGGGAGGGCAGAGCCGGGCAGGCAGAGAGCAAGCACCGGGGATGGGGAGGGAGGCGGCAGCATCTTTTCCCCCATAGGCAGACGCGGTCAGTCCCCAAGTGCTGCAGGGGAGCCCTTCCACCTTCTCACGGCGGGGGGAGAGCAGGAGCAGGAGCAGGGGGTGGCTGCGGGGTCTGATAGGGAGCCCTGTCAGTATTCGCGGATTTTGCCATTCATAGGGATCTTCAGAATGGATCCCCCGTGAATGGCAAGGTTCTTCTGTATTCAGAAAGCCTGGAGGTTTCTAGAGGTAATCAATAGGAAATGCTAAGTAAAGTGGTGCATCTGGGATTTATAAAGCATAATCTACTGTTTGATTTAAAGAGAAATCTTGTGTTTTTACCAAGTCAGTACCTCTGCTCTAGGCACAATAGAAATAGTCTTCTTGCCGTAACACAAACATTCACGGTATGTACTCAATCACACAGTTGTATTCCTGCCTAAATATCTTGTGTTAGGCAACAAAAAGAGAAATAGGAAATAGATATGTCAAATGTAAATGTTTATGCCTTTCCTCTGAGCTAGTAAAATGAGGTTGCCTTCTAAGTTCCTGGGGCATCTGAGGCTATATTTTTCTCTGGCTCATTGTGAAGCTGTATGTAACTGCAAAACAAAAAAAGACTGGAAAACTTTGTAGGTAAAAGGAAAAGGTTAGAGAGACACAAGCCCCTGGCCAAGACAGGTGCTCAGGCAGCAAGGGATGTGTCTGCACATGATATTAATGTGACTCAATAAACTCCAGCATCAGGCCCAGGTGGTGAGCCTGCCAGCCCAGAGCGGCTCCCCCCCACCAGCTCAGTGTGCTGCGGAGGGGTTGGCTGGGGCACAAGAATGTGGGGCTAGCCAGCAGGCAGCCTCCGCACTGTAGCACCCCTGTACCCTAGTCAGCCCCACCATCTACACATGCGTTTTGCCACATGTAACTACTCTGCTGTAGGATAGTACTTGTGGGATAGTAGTTGTGTCAGGCTACTAGCCTACAGTGGAGTTAATTAGTTTACTGCAGCCTAATAGCTCTGCGCATGTAGCTGATGCTTTACTGCAGAACTAGTTAGTTGGCTCCTCAGTAAGGCGTCTTGTGTAGATGCACCCACTGATTATTTCACTAGTATTCTCCACAAAGTATGAAGCTCTTAGGAATAGCTGACTCAGTTATATGCACTGAGTTTAATTCTTTGTCATTCTGTGCTTTAGCCAGGCAGTTGCACTGGCACGATTTGAAGGAAGCGTTAAAAATATTGATTATCAGTATGGTAGCTGCTTGGGACTGATTGTACAAATTAAGTCACTTGCATGCCTGGTTGAAGCATCCCTAAAAGAATAGATTTTACCCCCTGAAATTACGCTTCAATTACTTGTATTTTCCTGTATGTCTGCAATTATGTGATAGGGTTCTTTTAGACAGCAGCAAAATGGTTGGTCATTCTAACTGTAGTGGCTTTGTTCCTGTTCCTTTTACTGATGTTCCTTTAAATGGTATTCTGCATGCTAACCTAATTTTGGCCATATGACAGGAATTCGATTGATACCTGGCATGAATGACTCTCCCCTGTGCAATCTACAGGCAGATAATGCCTAGCATGATGCCTAATGTTCTGGGGAGAACTGCTGAAAAAAAATTATGCCTAATGTTCTGGGGAGAACTGCTGAAAAAAAATTATACTATGTATGTAGCAGGGAGAAATCATCCATATCTTTTTCTCCATTTGATTGCCAATCATTTTGATTTCTCATTTAGATTTTCCTGATATATTGCACATGTGGCTAGGTCTGTCTAGTCATTTCCAAAAGAACATAGGAAAGTAATCTTAAGATATGTGCTATTTTTCACAGGTTTATGGGAATAGATATACTACAGAGACATAATCCAGCTCATCCTGAACCTGAGACTTGATGTACAAATCCTAAATTATAGTGCAAGAACAATAATTTATGTTTTAACTTTTTTGGGGAGGATTACGCTATAGCAAATTTAGACCTCTTTACTTGTAAATGGGAGCATCTATTCATGGCTTAATAATGCTTTAGTTTACATGTGATGAGTTAGTGGACATATTTCATGCGTCCAAAATTTCCTGAGGGTCCCCAGGCAGATAAGTCCATGCAGAATAGATTTCAGCGATATTCATGCATTTCAGACTGAATGGGAATGATCTTGCAGCCATCCTTCATACAAAACTTATTGGGTTCTTTTAGGCATAAACAATATAAAACCATCGGGACCAGTGTCATTCTAGGCTTTGTGACATAATCCTAAAAAATCAGTCGCATCTAAACTAATTCTTCCAGAAGTGCTTGAAAACTAGTAGAAAGCTTGTAATGTAGGTAAGGTTCCATTGACTTTATAAGCCTCATTACTATTATGGGTTTTCAGAAAGACACTAGTTTAATAGGTTATGATACCAATATGATAGTTAAATAACTGGTCTTTATTGGTAAAACAGGAATTTGACTCCATCCATTGGAAGCCACATTATGAAGTGCAATTTGCTTTTTTCTGAAACTTCTTTTTGGAGGGATTAGATGAGTTTGGGGATTAGTAACAGGATACAGAAACTTCTACATCTCTTATCCCATGTCAGGAGTTCAGACAGAGGTGAATTGTTCTGGTAAATGTTCCAGTTATTGTCGTCCTTAAGCATAATAATGACCTTTGTAGGGACATTTCTGGTAAGGAAAGAATGACAGCTAATGGGGATTAAATGACAGAAATTCCGGCCTGCTTCCCACTGCTACTTCAACCATCTCATCTATTTGTTCTTTTGCAGGAAACCAATTTTTTTATGAGAACCCTTCCTTATTGTGAAGTAGCCTTCCTCATTTTCGTACATCAGAGCTCTCACTTGAAAGAGCTGTCCTGTTGAAAGATCTTGTGATTATGAAACTGATTTCTGCAGGTGTGAAGTATTTCCCAACTACTTCTTTTGTGACAAATTCATTGTAAGATTTTCCTATATGTGAGCCAGGTTCACCCCGACATACAGCAGAGAAGTCAATGGAAGCTGCATCTCTCTATACTAGGGGTCAGTCTGGCTCACTATTGAATTAGAGGTATAATGCATGGATGCCCCTTGCTGCTGTCCCTGGTTGTCTAGGAGGGGAAGGGACCCCTGCCACCTCTATAACATAATGTGGAGACTGAAAGCATGAATTCCACCTTGGCGTAGTGTACTTAGGGCCTCATTGTTTTCATCTAGAACAGGAGTGGGCAATTATTTGGGCTGGAGGGCCACTTAAGGAGTTTAAGTGAGCTGCTGTGGGGCCGGGGAAGGAGGGAGTGCTGACCCAGCCAGGTGGGGGTGGGGGGCAATTGATCCTATGTGACCCTGAGCCCATCTGCCCCACACCCACTGCTGTGGGGGGTGCCAGACAGAGCAGGCAAGTTCTCATTGGCAACCAGCCCAGGACACTTGCAGGCAGGTTGCTTTCAGGTAGGCGGATGGGATGGGACCATGGACAGGCAGGGAATGGCATCCAGGAGTGGGATGGGTGGGCAGGGCCAGGATCATGGGGCAGTGATAGTGTGGGGCCAGGGCTGGGGCAGAGCCTCGATCCCCTCTGCATGAGTTGGGACAGAGTGGATCGAGCCCTGCACTGTCACCACCCTGCAATCCCAGCCCCAGACATATCCACCTGTCCTGCTCCCCACTCACCTGTGGGCCCCTCCCATCCATCTGGCCAAGCGCGCTCTGCCCATGGGGGTCCTGGACCGATCTCCATGGAGACCCTGCCTGCTGGCTGTGTCCAGTGCCCCTAGCAGTGGGTGCAGGGTGGACTGGCAGGGGCAGGCAGGG